TTCTTTTGTTTTCATTTGTATTCTTTTTAGCAACCCACAGTTATCTGTGTCATTATCAGAGGGCATATAGGCTTAATAATAACAAAATTGAGATAGAAACACGAGAAGAAGCTCCACAATTAGAAAGAATAGTGCTAATCTTAGTGAAATCCGGCCTCAGCCCGTTGTATAAAATTATCGACTTGGGTCCGGATTATGAGAGTACATGTATTAATTTATTCCTGGTATAATTATCACAAACGCAGTGCAGGGATAAAGATGGTCCTATACGTTCTAATACAGTGTGTAAAACACACCCTGGATGTTTTTGAATCATTAATGTCAGACAATGATTTAGTATTTCTCTAACCACTTGTGGAAATTGGGTTCGAGGTTAATGCATAGTCCTTGTCGATTCGACAGAAGCGGTTTGGCACTTTTAAGGGATTAGATTGACTCGCAACGAACGAATTATGCAGAAATATTTAGAAGCAGAAAACTAAGAGAAATACCCATGACATAGTGAAATGTGGGAAGCTTTGATATCATGTGGAAGCATCCAACAGAATCCCAAGTCAGTATGTAGCATAGCTTTGCAACCTTTTGAGCAACCCTAAATCCCTGAAGTATGCAAGTGTCAATATGGAACAGTTTTTTAGTTATTTGTTTACCAATCCTTTCATGGTGAACTTTCAAACCATATGGAAATTAAAATTATGCTTTCATAACTCATGCTAAATTTGGCTCAAAATTAGTTCGTGTTAAAACTTGAATAAAACTTAACCTGATTTCATGTGTTTGTTCCTCTAGTGTTAATGGCCTTTCATTTGTTGATCTTATGTCAGAAAAACCTTAATAGGTGTCTCTACACTTCAGGTCCAATATTCTCTTGACAGAGAGGATGAGAGCCAAAGTTGCAGATTTTGGATTTGCAAAGCTAGGAGAGATGGACTCTGGCAAATCACATGTTTCAACAAAAGTAAAAGGCACAGTTGGTTACCTTGACCCAGAGTACATGAAGACAAATCAGCTCACGGCAAAGAGCGACGTGTATTCTTTTGGAATATTGCTATTAGAAATTTTAACGGGTCGCCGGCCTGTGGAATTGATGAGAACACCTGATGAGAAAGTGACACTAAGATGGGTAAATTTTTCCCTTTTATAAATGCAAGCTTATTTTCTTTAGTCCTAATTCAAGACTCATTTTATGAGAAAATCTTCGATTAATCAGATGATGTAATGCTTCCGTATGGCTAATAATTACGTCTCATGAAGTCACTAACTTGGTTAGTTGGTTTTACATTGCTGTAGAATTTTCTGAGACAGATTTGTTATGAAGTCTCTGCTCTTTTTTTTTTTTTCTTGATATACATTTGCGTTGCTTCTGACCTGGACTTTTTAGCACGGAATGCAGTCATTTACATCTATATTTTAACAGTTCATTGAAGAGAGAGCATTTTTCAATTAGCATTGGCAAGTTGTATTTTATTCCACTAAATGCATGTTAAGTACGCACTACTAGAAAAAAATTCCTCATGTAAATAATATTTTTATGCAGGCATTTAGGAAATACAATGATGGGAAGTTGATGGAGATGTTAGATCCTTTAATGAAGGAAGATGTAGAGCATGAAATCCTGGTGAAAATGTTTGGTCTGGCGATTGACTGTGCAGCACCAACACGAGCCAGTCGTCCGGATATGAAATCGGTAGGGGAGCAGCTGTGGGGAATTAGAATGGAGCACTTGAGAAGTGGAAGGAGAGAGCAATAGGTGCCAACCTATTGATTTTGTAAAAGCCCAGTTCATTTCGGTGTTGGTAGTTTTCTTCAACAACAAATCTTCATTCTGAAGATAGTTTGATTACATGATTCTGTATAAAAATACACTAATGGCAAATTCAAGAATTAAATTGTTTATAAATATGTTACAGTGGTCTTCTTGTGCAATGGCTATAATATTACTCATACATCTTGGGTTGAAAACGAAACTTCTGTTATTTATGAAGTTTTTTAGGCTATTTATATTGATTTTGACAGTTCTATAACTATGGGGATGCTGGTGTCCTGGTGCAATCTCTACATTTTTTCACTGTTGAAAATAGCAGATGAAAAGTAAGAAGATAGCAGCATGTCACGGTCTTGTAAATATCAAGCACCAAGCGGCCTTAAAGCCTCGGCATGCAAGTTTGGAAAGGCCACGTCTTACAAATATCAAGCACCAAGAAACTGTGCAGCCTGGACGCCTCACCATGGTGAGTTTGGGAAGACCAAGTCTGTAGCACGCAGCTTTCAAACTTATATTTTGGTTAGGCTAGTCCATGAGATGACAAGATTACTTGCCTTTGCTAATTATGTATGTATAGAGTTCCAAGAAATCATAGCCAATCCAATGAAAGATCCATCAAAAATTTTGATTATCATAGGAAATTGAATTACAATTCGAGCTCAAGTACATTGAGCAACATGTAAACAGCTCCTTCAGGCAAAGAATAATTATCAGTTGATCCCGGAAAAATTAGTCAAAGAAGGAATCCTCTTAACATTGGAAGATGAGGAAATATCTATTTCGTATAAGCACTGCTTAATTTGTGAATCAAAGACCTTTAAGCTGTCCGACCAACCCTGTCAATACTGTCCACTTCTCAAGTGCACTTGCTGATGCCACAAAAGCTTTTTCCGATGCTTCAATGTCCTTTCCAGAAACTGCATTCATTAAATTAGATGCTACCTTAATTCGCGTTCATTAGACATCAAACTGCATTAAGGGGTATCGTAAGTATGGATCACCTGATGAAATCAAAGACGAGAGTGAGGAGTTGAAGACGTCAACCTCAGTTTTTTCTTCAGGGCTAGAGCTCAACTGCAAGGAGATGGCGTAAGAAACACAACCTACAAATTTATTTTTAACATGTGCAGAAACTAACGCAGATGAAGCATGAAAGTATTCAAGAAACGACCTTATTAAATGCTGATTTGATTTTTGAAACCCATTCTGTATCAGTACTTGGACCAAGAACTGAACTTGCAGCAGAAAGGTCTTTGTTTTCAATGGCTTGACCAACTTTGCTCAGTTTATAAACAAGATCTTGCAGATATGCTGCAACATTACAATATCATTCTCAAATAACAATTGAAGTGATTTAAGCTAAAACTTTGCATCATGGGAATTCTGCCTCACAACATGTATCAGACATAATTCCATTCTATTTATGTACTAGGTAATAAGATTATATTCGGATGCAGAAGTTTTTCCTTTCTTTTACATCAAGGTAATAAGATTGTATTCTCCATCTATGCATTCTAGCAAAGAAGTAAAGACCTAGTAGAAAATTACAAATTGGGTTGTTCTTTCCCCTGTCAAGGTAGTTCAATCTGGTTACTGTAACTGGATTCTCAAATGAGCAATTCTGCTATAGATTTTCTCTTCCATATTTCAATCCTATTCAATAACAGGATTCTGAATTTCAAATTTTAGATCAAGATCGATCGGAAAATTATCTATGACACGACTAGAAATTCCTCAGGAAAAAAAAAAGGCAGACATGCCCATAAAACAAAATTCAAGAATCAGACAATGAGAAGGAAGAAATTAACCTGTCTCCTTGGTGGATGACTTAATAACTCCTTGTCTTTCAATCCTCTTTTTCCTATCCCTCTTCACTTTCTCCAACAGTTCTTCATCATCGTCCGCCTCGAGAATGGCAGCATTTGCATCAAAATAGCCTTTGCCAGTTAAGGTGAGCACACAAATTGAACTTATACTAATGCAAAGGCTTCTCTTGGAGAGAATTTGAGGAGAAAGAGAGGCCTCATTCACTGCCTTGCATATATTCAGCTGTCTCCTATTAGATAGTGATATTACATGTTGAGAAGAAGATGAAGAGGTAGATGGAATAAAAGGGAGGAAGGAGATGGCATTTGAGAGGAAAACTGCTGCCATTTTTTTCCTTTTTGCTGTTATTTTTTGGGGGCAAAGAATTGGAGGCTGGGACAGTAAAGGCTGCACAAGATAAGATCACAAGATTTCCTTCTAATATGGACCACAGTTTATATATAAAGGACAATGAAGTCAATCACGACCGTACAAATTTTAGGAGTTAAAGGTCCTTAACAAGACCGCATGTTTGACCAAGCTAAAAACAAAAAGTACTCTGTCGAAGTTTTATAGTCCATCTAGTGGTGTCCAAATGTGCCGGTTCAGGCCAGTTCACGGTTTGGTCCGGGCTGTACCTAGCTCGATTGTCTATCCCTATCACTCGTGAGAATAGGCCCGATTTATTAAAAATATTGAAAATGGGTATATATTTATGAGATTCTCAGGACTTGTGATGCTTGTCATGAGGCGGAAACCCGTAGTTTGAAGGATAATTCAGCCCGAAGTATAGCACTGTTGATAGACGGGGAGTTTGGGGACTGTCCTTTGGAGAAAGAAAAAGAGGTCGGCTTTTTGTAAATGAGAGAACTGAACCCTCTTAATTTCTCATAGCTCAAAGGAAGTCGAGTCCATTAAAATTAAAAAACAGTTGTGGTTATAAAAACTAGTGTTCTAAAAAGCACCTTGTTGAATAACCACGCTTTATGCTTTTTTATGCATAGGCAGACATTTAGACTCGTCAAAAGGATCGGGTCAAGCCAAGTCTAGGATTTGAACTCGAGCTGAGTGTTTTAAGGTCTGCTCGGTCCATTGTCACTACCTAATCACATTTAAATATTGTCTTCTATCATGTGGACAATAATAGCTCAGCTCCGCACGTCCAATGGTAGAAAAGATGGTGTACCTTGATTAGGTCGAAAACCCAGCTGTCAATAAGAATGCGACATTGTATCCATGATATTACAGTCCACGTATATTTGGCATGAAGTTATAGGGGTTTCACAAAAATATTGAGTTTTGACTTGTTGGTATTAAATGAGACGATTACACGTGGATCCAACACAATCATCACACGGCTGATATTTTTACAATGACGATGGGTTTCCTAATAACTGGTCCATCATCATTCATGGGATAATTTAGTACTCAAATCCAAATTGACTATTTCTCAAGACATTTGAATCTAGTCATCCAGCATTCACATTCTTTCCTCCTATATCAAACAGAGAATCAATCAAATCGGAGTTTTTTGTCAAAGAAGGCATGAATATCAAGATAGCTATAGGAATAGCAGATAGGAAACTGGTGGTGAAGGACTGGACTATATTAACAAATGTGTCCGAGAATGTGGTAGCAACATCTAATACAGCGGCTGGCCTAGTCGAGGGGTTGTTTTTCAGTGCTGTATTTGATCAAGATGACAGTCGGCAAGTCGTGCCACTAGGAACATTATGTGATGTTCGCTTCTTGGCATGCTTCAGATTCAACTTATGGTGGATGACTTAGAAAATGGGCGACAAAGGCCGTGATATTCCAATGGAAACACAGTTCTTGCTGTTAGAAACAAAGAATGGATCCTCAGATAATAATGAAATTGTTTATACTGTCGTCCTTCCTTTAGTTGAAGGACCAATTAAAGCTAGTCTTCAGGGGAATGACAAGGACGAGGTGGAGTTGTGTTTAGAGAGTCGGGCTATTAAGACTGTTGGATCGGTGCTTGGGCATTCGGTGTATATAAGTGCCGGTACTGATCCATTCGAGACCATACACGAGGCCATGATGGCTGTGAAGTTGCATCTGGGGACATTCAGGCTAAGGCACGAGAAAAAATTACCCGGGATTGTGGATTCTTTTGGGTGGTGTACTGGGATGCTTTCTACGACGAGGTGACTCAGGAAGGGGTCGAGGCCGGCCTCAGAAGTCTCTCAACTGGTGGAGCTCCTCTCAAGTTCCTTTAGTAGCTACTACAACCGTTTGTCATGGATATGATGACGATAATATACAACATAATAAACAACAACTTCTGTTGTCGCTGTTGAGGCTTACTGGGATTAAAGAAAATGAAAAATTTCAGAACAAAGTTGATCACATAGCGGGAATGAAGAATATCATCAAATTTGTAAAAGAAAAGTACAGTTTGAAGTATGTGTACATTTGGCATGCTATTATAGGCTATTGGGCTGGAGTTCAACCGGAAGTTAAGGAAATGGAGGAGTATGGATGTTTCATTGAGTATCTAAAGTTGTCCAAGGGAGTGGTAGAGAATGAACAGAGGTGGAAAAATGAAGCAATTGTAGTAGAGGGGTTGGGTTTAGTGAATCCCAAGAACGTATACAAGTTTTACAATGATTTGCAGTCATTTAGCCTCTGCTGGAATAGATGGGGTGAAAGTTGATGGGCAATGCTTATTAGAGACCCTTGGGAATGGTTTGGGGGGTCGTGTCGAGTTAATCAGCAAATATCAGCAAGCACTTGATGCTTCTGTTGCTAAGAATTTTCCTGATAATGAATGCATTGCCTGCAGGAGCCATAACATCGATTCATTTTACTGGTATAAATGTTCCTCATCCTTGTACTTAAAATATTAGATTTAAAAATAACTAACTTATAAGCGAACTTTTGAGCTTTAGTTTTGATGATTAACTTCGTAAAACAGCTCAAAACAAACTGCTATAGTGAGAGCATCAGAAGGTTTCTCCCCACTCAAACCTATATCACACACAATCTATATTGCTTCAGTTGCATACAATAGCGTCTTCCTTGGAGAATTCATGCTCCCAGATTGGGACATGTTCCATTCTCTCCATCCGGAAGCCGAGTACCATGGATCAGCAAAGGCTATCAGTGGTGGACCTGTCTACATTAGGTAACAAATCCTAACCTGGCCTCATATATGCTAAAAAGTTTACACATCTGATTTGACAAGTATCTAAGTTGAATCCTTTAGTAACAACGATGCACCTGGGAAACACAATTTTGATCTTCTCAAGAAGCTTGTTCTTCCCGATGGATAAATTCTTCGAGCACAACTTCCTGGTTGGCCTACCAAGGATTGTCTATTTTCTGATCCTACACGAGACGGTGTTAGGTAAGCTTACCAAGCCCAACATCCAAGAAATATTATCTGATTAGACGAGGATTTAACGACTAAATATGCGTCTTAAGTTCAGTTTATTAAAGATATGGAACATGAACAACTATACAGGAGTTCTTGGTGTATACAACTTTCAAGGTGCAGCATGGAATATTGTTGAGAGAAAGAACACATTCCACTAAACTAAAGCAATAACAGGCTATTTCAGGGGAGATGATGTCCATCTTATTTCTGAAGTTGCGTTGGACTCCAACTGGAATGGCGACTGCACTGTGTACTCTCACCGGAGTGGTGATCTTGTCACTTTGTCACACAACGATGATATGCTCGTGTCACTCAAGGTCCTCAAGCACGAGATTTTTACCATTACACCAGTTAAAGTATTGGCACCCAGGTTCAGTTTTGCACCTTTGGGTCTCATTGACATGTTCAACTTGTAGGAAAATTGTTTCAATATTGGATACCGGATTCGCAGTAGCAGATTCAATAACTTTGAATACAATGGATTCAAATATACACAACAGATATAAT